TCCAGACTGGACGGAATCCTCAGCCCTTTTTGGCAACAGGAAACAGTCAATTGTGCTGTGTATGAAACAAGACAAAGCGCCATTCCACAGGCTGGTCAGGAATCTAGTTCACAGGCCTTACCTCTAGGCCAGTTCAGTCCACCTGTCCAGAGACCTTTTCCCCAGGGTACCCTTTTGACCTAAAAGGTGCACCTGATCAACACATGCATGAATGGATTTGCCAAGGGCTTGCAACGTATCAGGTATTTACCTGCAACCTCATTTCAGGGATTTTCCCACAGGAAACACTTGCAGTCCAGGTAGGTAAGGTAGGAGATGAACCTTAGGAACAGGGTGAAAAGGGCTGTCTGGAATCATAGAGTCACCATCCGTTTCTTTTTCTTTTAATCATGAGCTACCCTAATCAACAAGGACAAAAAGAAAACCTAGCTACCCAAATGGGAATCCAGCACCATTTTGTTAAAAATGCTGTAGGTGGAAGCTTATCTATGCAAGCCGCCCCAAGCAGACCTGGTCTAGAGGGGCAGGGTATAAATTCAATTAAAGTTAAAAAAAGTGAACTTGATCTGAGGAAGCTCTTGAAAATCAATACTGGGGAACCCTTACGGACGTCCCTAATGAAAGGTGATCATTTTGTTAATTTCCATAATGTTATTACCTTGTGAATCTTCTAATGAGCAAAGGCTTTCAATATTTGATTAGCATACAGTGGCAGGATGTGACTAATCTGGAAAAACAGACGCAGATTCCAATTTGTCTCTTAATTCGATATGGCTGAAATGGAGGACTAAACAACGCTGGGCGTCACTCGCCAGGAAGTGCCCGTGTCCTTCGCTCTCATGACCTGATCTTGGCATGAGTGGCACAATTTTGAATGGAGTAGAATATTTTCTAGAAAGCGACTGAATCTGTTAATTTGCAAATGCTTGTCACCCCTTTCTGCTCCTCTGTCCTCTCATTCCCAAAGAATTGAAAAAAAGAATAGAGCTGCTAATAGTCACCTGTTATTTCTCACCTCCTGTTCCTTTCTTTGCCCCCAACCCCACCACCTTGTCTTCTGCCCCACCGACGACATCTTGCCAGAATTCCTGGTCTCTTTGCAGAGATTGGGGGGGAAAGGGACCCCCTTTGATGGGAGGAATGGCCTCCTCCAAGGACGTTGGTTAAAATTTAAGTCTGAATCTTTCGTACAGACTTTTGAGTCCCTATTAAAAAAAACCCTCCTTCATGGATTGCTGCCTTGTCGTGGCGAAGGGGCTTGAGCAACTCAGAGAAGCTATGGGCTATGCCATGCAGGGCCACCCAAGACGGACAGGTCATAGTGGAGAGTTCC